CTGCCTGCATATCATGGATACTCCACATGTGCATTGACACCAAAGGAATTCCACAGAAGCAAATCCAAGCACTGTTCCGTTAACACCTTTCTGGGGCATCCATGTCGCTTCCCTTTATCGCATGCACTTGATTCTCCATTATATTATATATCCTTTATTCAACCTGGTTCCGCTGGTAAGTCACTAAACCTTTTGTGTAAGCTCCTGCTTTCAGGCCATAAGATGTGAAACGATGTAGTCAGTCTATTTCATCTAAGGCTCTTTTCTTGTCCCACGCTTGCCAGAGAGAGTGCAGGTAAAATGCCAGGAGGCCCAGGGCTGCATAGACGGAAAGATACGTCCAGGAGCGTTTGTTTGACAGCTCTGGGCCAACATCCACACCCCAGTACAACAAGAGCCCGATCCAGCCACGCAGAAAGAAGGATGATGCAATCTCGGCCCCATTGGCAATTGTGAAGAACTTCCGCAGAAGGAGTGCCATGTAGGCACTGATGCTTATAACAGCATATCGGGTGCCTTCGATAAGCCACTCGATGATGTCCTGTCTAAAACCCCAAGAGAGAAGTATATTGTTGAAATCCTTTATTCGTCTTCCAAACACCAAGGCGGCAAGGGTGCCACCTTGGATAGCAACCTTGGTGTTGGGATTCTGCACAGCCACAGCACCCACCGAGAAGCCGAGAAAGATGCTGCTGATCAAGTCGGAGAGGGTCTCAACGCTTAGCCCCCTGGTGACAGCTGTGAATTTCCCGAAAAAATCTGAAGCGATCAAGCCGTTCGTGATGAGGAGTACTGCTTGCGCCTCACGATTTCAGGCCCAGCCCGAGTTAGATGCCACGAAGCCGATCTACTCACACCCTTGTTGGGGGAACCCCTTTGCGTCTGGGTTTGCCCACGCCTGCTGGCCAGCGACAAGCACGACGGTGCCCGTGAAGGCATCGATGTAAGGTGTTTCCGATACCTGTTGAAAAGCCACCTGGTGCAGTCACAGGCAGACACGAGCATAAACAGTGAGACCGGGCACTGGGTTTGCCGCTTGCCTGCAAAAGCGAAACACAGTTGTGCAAGTTTTAAGTTTTGCAGGGAAATGTGCAACTTCCCGGGCGTTCCTATACCATGGGACTGTTACTCAGCCAGTGGGTGCGGGCACCGTACATACCCCGCAAGTAGCTCGTCGTTCGGTCTCAGATCATGAAAACAGGTTTGACTACTTACGCCACTTACATCCTTGAACTTGAACCGAGAGTGCCTCGGCCGGCGCCAGGCAGAGCTTCCATCCGCGACTTGAATCTGAAGAATGAAGAATTGAAGCCTCATCTTCGCAGGCTTCAGGCTCACGGTGCTGTGGTCAGTGTGTGGTGGCTGCTCACAAGGCTTCGCAACTCCTGCGAACGCGGACAGGCTCCCTTGCAAACCTTCGATGCCTAGGCCTAGTCTCGAGATCTGACTGAGCATCTGCTGACTGCTGCTGAGTGGCTGCTCCCCACACGATTTCCCCGCTGGGCACGACGCCCTGCGGTCCATCAACTCCGGAGTATGAGATGCCGTTCACCGACAGCGAATCGGAACCATACACCGTCACAAAGGTCGTAACTTGGATGATCTCGGAGTTGTTTAACTCCACGTGCAGAACGCACTCGTCACCCGGTGGGTAAGCAAGAGGATAGTTTGTACTGGAAACGCAGTCGTCTTCGACGATGCAGCTCCTCGGCAGGGCACAAACAGAAACGACGTCTCAAACTAGACCTAACAGAGAGCCCCAAGGGAGATGAGCAAAACGAAAAAGATCTTAACTGGGGGCCAGGCCCAAAGCTGACGTCCCAGCTCGCCTCAAGCCAGGGCAAACACGATTTAAAGTATTCAGATGGTGAAGTTGTTGTTCTGAAGGACGCCTGTCTATTCTGTCTGCAGGCCGGAGCATCGCTGCTTCAGTGGCCAGCTGTCTTTGCTTCAAGGCTCTTCGGACGCTGTTGTCAGGTCTCACGTCGTGCGGCTTAGCTCCCAATTTTAGGGTCATACTGAGTCATACTGCATTTCGCGAAACTCGTCTCCCTAAGCAAAAAGGGCATGCGTCAGCCACTTTCACTCCGCCTTGGCCGGGAGCAGCATGGCCGCTGACATCCATAGGATGAGCGCCATCATTCTCCCAAAACTGCCAAAAGCTCTTGTATCGCGTGGGAACGTGGGACACTTCGGACCAAATGAAGGGTCGGGATGCAGAGTGCTCGTGGCGGCTGGTGATCTGCGGAACACCAAACCCTCTACCCGGCTCATCTGGCAGCAGCTGTCATTCTCTTAGCTGGTCCGCTTGAGCCAGGTGCATCGGACATGCCGTATGGCAAGAAAAGCTCTGCAACGCTCGGCATCATCGATGCTAAGAGGCACGGCAATGACCCGGACGTCATTGAATGGGTAAATCTTTTCCGGCTGGAAGCAGAAGGCAGCTGTTCTGCTTGTCGCTTCGCATTGCCTGACAGGCCAACTTGAATTGTATCCCAGCGCCCCTGCTCGAAGCTCGCATCCATCAGAGCCTTCACTCCTGTTGCAAGCATCATCACATCACTCATCACCCATCATCAACCCTTTCCTTTCCTCTCCCGGCCTTCTAGCCGGGTTCTAAGTTCCATATCCCAGTGCTGCCCGGCCCTTGCTGCCCCTGGCCTAACTCGGCCCCGGCCGAAGCGGCCAGAGCAGAGATTCCCTGTTCCCTGCCTCTTAAGCCCCTCCCTCCCCAATAACCCACCTACCCTTATCGACGCCCATCCCCCCGCCCCTTCAAAACCCCGCTCCGCCCTCACTCCCTTTTCACCCTTCCGTCGTCTCTTCCTTGCGTTGGGCGAAGCAAGACAGGAAGGCGGCTAGCTTACATCATTCGTGAAGTTGATGCCAAAGCCTGGGAATTCTGGGGCTGTGTCTTGTACCTTGTTGCGAAGCTTGATTCCCCATTCTCCTTCCAACATATATGGGAGGTTGCAGAAGTGTAACACGATAGTGCAGGGAATGTGCCACCTTTCGCGTGGAATTATTGCTCAAAGCCTCAACACGAATACTGACATTAAACACGCGTTCTGAAGCAAATGCACTCCCTCACGCAAGACCTCACCTGTGCGACCTACCTGTTGCTTTCCGAAACAATGCACCTGCTTTGAAGTACAGCCGGGCCGAGGTGAGGCGGACGAGGCGAAGGCTTTTGAAATTACTAGAAGCTTGTCCTGCTGCATTGAGGCCAAAGGCAACAAAGCCGATCTCCTCTGCAGCCGAGGAGCACGGGGCGTACTCATTGAAAGCAAAAGACCTGGCGACCTGAAATCGAAACCCGGTGCAGTCTGTTGCACGTGCCGCTGCTGCACACGTATGGTGCTAGCCTTTACCAGGGTACGTTTAGTGGAGCCAGTTCACACTCATGTACCACAAGTCAATAGTATCTACGGAGAACCCTATAATCTATAAGATGCGACACGCTAGCCTGGCCACCTCTCAGGGGTCGTAAACCGTGGGACCTCCCTCTCATCTGGGCATTGTCTCTCGACGCAGGTCAACGAAGCAAGACCAGGCCGAGAAACCTTCATCGGCGACAGGGCTGGCTGCCTGGTATCTGAATTCAGGTATGCTGGGTGTTGGTGAGCTCAACATTTCTCGCTACGATTCATGCTTCTCGTGTCGTCCCACTGCTTGAATGGAAAAGCGACTACGGCTGCGAACACTTACGTAACAGTCAGAAGGACGGGCCGTTGCTCCGTCAAGCCCTGCATTTGCAGACCCGGTCCTTGCAGATAGCGATAACCGCTCCCTTCAGGGAGAGGAAAAACGGTTTCACCTCGGCTTCATTCATGCATTTCTCGTGACTCGTTGCTCTGTGGGACTTGCCCAGCGCACAGCCACTATGCAGCTATGCATGAGGCGCTGCCGATAAACACTCAGTACAAACTCTAACACTGTCCACGTTGCATCTGTGAACTGATGAGCTTAGATGCATCTACCGCTGCATCACTGCATGCGAAATAACCGGATCCTGCCCGTATCTGACCCCGGCGCAACAGAAACCAACTGATGGATTGCTCGGTGTCACCTGTTCACTACAGTCTGTGCACCCGCCCAAAGACAACGCTTTGCGCCGCTGAAGCTTGACCACTCGGACATGCCCCATGGTTTCGCTGCCCGGCACGGGCTCAGGCTTTCCAGTCTTGACTGGGGAGGGGGGTCGTTGGAGTTGGTTTGAAAAGGCATGTTCAAAACAGTTAGTTTATATATATATACATACATACATACATATACATATACACATAAAGAGAGAGAGAGAGAGAGAGGGAGTAGATTAAAGTACCGTATAGATATAGACAAAGGTGAAGAGCGTGCCTTTCATGGCTAGGCTTCTTCAGCAGAATGGGCAGCACGAATTCATCTCCAGAAGAACTTTCGCAGGTGATCTGCCTGTTGTGCTTCAGTTCCTACTGTGCAGGTCTCGTTGCCCAAGGCTTTCTGCCGTGCTGCAGAGTTGCTCTTTACCTGTAACTGTAACTCTTCACTAGTATTGGCAGCACGCAGGCTTTGCCAACCCTTCTTAAGCTTGTTCTTGACCTGTCTTCCTTGCAGCTTGTCGACTACGGTGCCTGCTCTGCCTTACAGGTAGCTGCTTAACCCGCCTTAGTTGTCTTAGCTCCTGGTGGCCGCCGACCTGCATTCACATGTTCAAGCTGGCCTTCATCTGCTGTCCTTCGTGCTGCTTGCAGCACCTCTACCTGTTTCCACCCCTAGGAGCACTTTGTGAAATGTGCTCCGTCTGGCTTGCAGTGCATCTGATCTGCCCAGAGTTCTTCTGAACACTGCTCCGTTGATTGTTGTCTATACAGCTTCTGCTAAGTTGCTTCAGTACCGGTTCGCTGCACTTGTGCTTGAAGGTTTGGCAAAACTTGGCATGATGCATTTGTTGCTATCTCTCTGACCGTATCTTGTCTGCAAGGTTTCCTGTTGGCCAGCTGCCTTTATGCCTCCTGACCGCCCTAAGCCAAGAGTTGGTACATGTCCCCAAACGCGCTTGGGATAAGTGCGACAGAAAGATTGAAGGACCAGGCCATGCTCTGACTTCCCAGGTGGCTACGGGCGTCTGCGCCGCGAAATGCCCCAAACTGAAGCAAGCAGCTGGGCGATGTCAAAGTCGGCATCGCGGCAAGAGGAGACTGCGGTCTCCACACAACAGCCTCGCGGCCACGGGAAAGCTGCCAGCATCTTTTACATGGGCTCTTGCATACTTCAGCCTCTCTGCGCTGCGTGACGATAGGCGAGGCCAACCTGATCAAGAACTTCTTAGACTGTGAGTAGAACCTCTCAGGCGCCCAGGCAAAGGCAAGGCTGAAGCGCTGGCGTCCTGCACCGAGGCTCTTGAATCCAAAGGTCGGCAACCTGAGATACAGCAAACTGCAAGGCTTGCTGAGATTTTGCCCATCTGGTGGTGGTTGCGAAAGGCATGTGCAGCTGACAATCCAAACAGGAGGGCGACTACAATTTCTGATACATGACGATAGGACAGCGGTCGACAGTCTCTCGCTCAGCTCTTGCACCTTTGCTCCCGATCAGTGCTGTCGCAGCCCCCCTATCCTTGCCCCCTCGCAGCTAAGGCACCTGTGCTGTCGGACGAGGTGACCTCGACAGACGGAGTATGTTTGCAAGCTGCACCTGTGAGGCTCTTGAGGTGCTTCCTTGAGACGGCAACCTCATCGTGTCTAGCCAAACGGTGTTGCGGTGATCGTACACTGGCGATCCTGGCAGGCAGGAAGCAAGTTGGATGTCAAAGGAAGCTCTGAAGCCGCATGTGGCAAATGCTGGCTAGGGTCGTGCCATCGGAGAAGCGGTACGGGTCGCTGGCAACATTGGGTCTGCGACGAATCGATGCTCCACACGCGCTCTTGGCGGAGGTGAGCTGGCGCCATCGAAGCGAGATAAAGACTTGCTCCGCGGTGAGAGGTCCATCCATGCCGTTCTCGGAGTTAAGGGGCTCGGGCTGGCAACGGCTTGAAGGGCTTGTTGGCAGGACTCACGCGCCCTCGCCGCCAGATCTGCCCATGATTGAGTTGCTGCCACTGGCTGGCAGAGCATCCTTTGAGTGGCCGTTCCAGGGGTGTCCAAGGTGCCAGTCGAACTCTGTAAACTCTGCCTTTCCAGGGCAGCGCAGTGTGCATCAGAGACTGACGTCTCTTTTCAAAGATACACAACAAAGCTTATGCAGTACAAGCTCTTGCGAGGCCTCGGACTGGCTAGAAGCTGCTGAGCACTGGGAACTGCTGGCAGCTTGTAGCTGTAACTTGCGTAGCGTGGAATGGTGGGAGCGGGGCTTTGGCTCCGTCGGTTCCACGTCTCACTCGCAGCTGGCACCACCGGTACCCACTGATCGGGCTTGGACCGCCTCGAGAGCTGAACCGGAAGGCAGCTCGAGTTTCAAGCATGCCGACATACGTGTGATTAAGTATCAATTCTCAGCCAAGATGCTGAACTGCCTTTACCTTCGCAACAGCTGCCACAGCGGCCACCACAGCTGTGCTTGGGCTGGATGCTGATCTGCCCAAGCCAGACAAGCCACAGACTACTGCTTGCATCTTTGCAGCTCAACGGCACCTGACGCTCTCTCTCCTAATCCGGCCAAGTGCACCACTTTAATTTGGCGATAGCAACGCTGCCTCATGACCTGACGAACGCTCGCTGGATGCGTCTGTCGGGGAGTTTCCTTGGCTAAAAATCTTCTCTGCAGGGTGGTCACACCATCTCAGGCTGCAGTCTCTTCTACATGGTAAACAGGGTAGAATCTAGATGGTGCTGAGCTGCCGCCATCCACACGGTAGAGGCCACCTGACGCATCCTGAGGTAGGGAAGACAGCAGGTGGCATCAGAAGGTGCTGATGCATTCAGCAGATTTCAGCAGACCCCTTCCTAGGTTTCAGGCCCTTGTCTTTGCAAGATCTGAAATGTGTCCGAAGGCGTCGCGGTGTCCTGAAGTGCGCAGCAGCCATGTCTTGCAAATTGATTGAAAGTTAAGCGTGGAACTGTGATGTCACCTGAATCGTCGATTGGAAGAACCCTTCGTCCAAATTCCTCACATGCCTTCACCTGCAGAACTTCGACCTTCGCGACTCGGATCTCTCCCGGCATTTGCCAGCATCAAGCACGACAACACAAAATCCAGGTGTCTAGCTGCTGTCTATCTGCGAGTTTCACCCTGCATTTTGCTGGGTACCTACAATGACTGGAAAGAGCAATCGACATTTCCCGTGCTTGTCCTGCGGGAATGGGCTCGAAATCCTCGTGGCCTACCAAAGATTCGGTGCAAGAAGCTGGCGAGGCATGCACAACACGCAATTACACTCACTTCGAGTAGCTCGCCGACTCGTGTCAATAGCAAGACTTCGCCACCAGTCAGCACCAAGTTTGCTGCTGCTGCGGCACTAACCACAGCGCTAGAACCATCTGCGAAAGCTCGGGGCCCACCTGCACCTTTGCTGTCATTGATACGGAGCTTGGCCGATGCTGAAGTGTAGAAAGCTCTTCGACTGCCTGACTCGACGGAGGCACCTGAGCAGGCCGGGAAGGCATGCCAGCTGTCGAATGCTCAGAAGCTGCTAAGTCTGCCAAGTATTATGCCATGCTATACTGTACTAGACCATGCTACAGCACACTACACTACACTACACTTTGTACTAGACGCTGTACTTCTGTACTCTGCATTGCAAAACTAACTATATACTAATTTGTCTACTATATACCATATACCATGCACCGTATACTGTATACTGTATGCTATATTATATACTGTATACTGTGTACCAATTCTATATACGAGCCATAGCTTACTGCGCTGTACACTATTGCTGTACACCTTAACACTATGCTTTACACGATACTGTACACTCGACTATACACCACTACTGTATATACTATCTGATTACTATCTACCAATTACTATGTACTACCCAGAGGCCAAGACAACTTCAGACTCCAAGATCTTGGCCACTTGTCGACGAAGTGGAATCTCCGATGAGCTTCCCGTTGCTTCAATCGTGAAGCGGTGCTTGGGATCACCAGACCTTGGGAAAAGCGGCAAAGAAGCACACACACCACCAGGCAGGCAACTACCAGAATGATCTCCAAGCGACGGCGGAGTTACATCATTGGATGAATTGGCCCTGCAGCTCGGCTACATGCTGGCAGGCTGGGAACAATCCGCTTGTTTCGAGGAGCGATCGGCTTAAACTGCCAAGCATGTCAATGCCGACATCAGAAAGCTCGCGTGTGGAGCGATGGTTCGAGCCGCTGCCTCGGCGATGTCCTAGCTCGAGTCTTCCCTGCCTGACAGGAGGGTCTTGCTCTTTGGATCTCTTTGTAGTTCTCCCTGGTTTCTGAGGATGGGATGTGTTGACCTTCCCGTCCACACCGCCCAGCCCACCCGACCTGAATACGCCCTAGTGCATTACGTCATTTCCGAATTCATCCCCGGGCGACATCCGGACAGTGAGCCAACTATACTATAGACCACATGACGGCGCCTAGCAGTCCGTTCATGGACTCCGTTGCTGCGCGACTGGTTTACTCACTCACGCATTGCGTCTCACACCTGACCATACAGCTGTGCTCCTCGCCTCGCCTGACCGCACCTACCTTGCCTTACTGCACGTCACTGCACCGCGCAGCGAGAACCGGAGAGCGCAGAAAAAAGTAGGTTCTTAGCACAGCTTGTCGTACGACATCTGCTTTGCTGTGCTGCGCCAAGACCTGTCGGAAATCACCCTGCAAACCCCAGTCATCTGCAAAACTCAAAGGAAGCCTTGCTGGCGCAGGCCCTGCCAGGACATGACTCAACCCGGGCAGTCAACCGGCTCAAAAACTCGACCGAAAACTGAAAAGATTTTATTATAAGCACATCAAACAAAGTCAGAGAGTGCTCAGGCCTCTGTGGCGATTCGGGCCTTGTCCGCGGCCTTCAAGAACATGTAAAGACTTCCGGAAGTACGGTCAAAGATTTGAAGGCTTGAGTGTCTCATGGCAGGTCTTCATGCCGGCACTTCGGATGTTCATACTCGGGGGGGAGCTGCTGAGGCGACACGAATTAGGCCGCACGCATGCCGCGCGGCTTGCAAAGGCAACCGAGCACCCCCTCCCTCTTGCGGCTACACTCGAACAGGTCCAAGTTGTGCGCCTCTCGTCGCTTCTCTCCCTCTGGTCGCAGGCTCTCCTGTACCGGTTTGAGGGCCACTGCGGCACCGCCAGGTGAGGTGTGCTTCCAGCCTCCTTGGCCTTTGCGTTCTCCAAGGCGGCTCGATCCTGTCAGTGCCAAAACGCACATCCACGCTTCACAACACCACCGCCACCGCCTCTTGTCCGCGCATTTCTGCCTGTCGGCAGCATCAGGCAGAAGGATCTCCGAGCCAGTGCTATCCAGCCCTTTGCACGAGCCTTCTCCATAGCTTCCTCCTCCTGCAGAAGGTCAGCACGGCCCACAATCATAGAAAATAATGTCTGAAAGCTGCGTCGATTGCACCTCTTGTCGCTTCCTCTCCTGCTCCATCCGTGCTGTCTCCTGCGAACCGCTTTAGAGTCTCTACGTCTCTGTCCTTGAGGATCCCTAGAAATCCTTGAGCAGTCGCCCATTGCCGTTCTAGCAGCTAGCAGGTCCCCGTTTTGAAGCTCCCGACACAGAACGAGTGGAGTCTAGCATGCCGCTGCTTCTCCCAAATGAATCCGTCTACAAGTCTACAAGGTGAGCACCCTAAGGCAGCCGACCCCCGCAAAAGGCAGCGCACCCCAATGTGATACGTCAATCTGCGAAAGGCACCCCAGGCACGGTGAATCCCCAAGGTGGCGCATCTGCGGCGGCACGTTGTGAAGCATGCGCCAAGACAGGGAAATGCACGTCGCACAAGGCATCGCTACAACTGAATTAGCAAGGACCAAGTCGACGCCCTCCACAGCAACCCACACTGTTCACCCCAAAGCCCCCCCCCCAATCATGTAGATGCGCGATTTCGCCGCAAGCCACATGTCCGTGGCAATCGAGCACAACAAGAAAGAGCCATTCTCCATGTAGACGCCGGAGTTCGCAAGCACGCCCTCCAAACACACATCCGTGGCAGCATAACACACGTGTAGACGCTGGATGTCGCAAGATGTCGCAAGCATCTGCCGGGGACACACATCGGCAGCACAGTGGCGCATCACAGCAAGCTAGAGTTTGCAAGCAGCCGCAAACACACAGACAGACAGACAGCCAGCCAGCCAGGCAGGTAGGTAGGCAGACAGACAGACAGAGACGCACACACACACAGACACACACACACACATCCACATCAGCGGCATACTGTAAATGTGTAAACCCCGAATGTGTATTGCCCTCACGTCGCGTCTTCAAACCTGCAAAACGCACAAGTTCATCGCCCTCACGGCTCAAACCTGGAAAACACAAAAGTTACTGCCCACCTCTTGTCTGCGCAGCTCCTCTGCTGCCTGCAGATATTTGCAGAACAAGGCTTTGCAAGTTTGTATGTTGGAGGTGTTGCTCCAACAGCACGAGGCCACGAAAGTGGAGACTGCAGTCTTGCACGGGACCTCGTTTCGTTGCGACTCCTCCAAGCGTGCGTTCTCCTGCATGCGAGGTCGAGTCAGGTCTGTGCGCGATAAACTCCGCTCTGTAGGCGGTACAGTACAACTTAACGTTCTTCCGCTGCGACTGACTCTTCCTCTGCGCGAGCCCCCTCGAGCGCCTCCTCTTCCTGCGAAAACGAGCAGCCACGTCCATGACTCCCTGCCCGAGCGGGGGCTATGTTGCGCACCTCTTGCCGACGCCTTTCTGCTTCTAATCGTGCCCTCTCCTGTGCACAGGTACCATTCGCGAACGCTGCATGATCCACTCGGGCTGACACGCACCTCCTCTGCAGCCTTGCCTTGCTCCTGCACAAAACTGTAGGAAGCAAGCAGCATGTCGAACTGGCAAAAAAGACGGCAGCAGTTGCCGGATGCCTACCTCGGTAAAGCAAGTGCGGTCCACCTCTTGTCCGCGCATTTTTTGTGCCTGCAGAGAGAGGCCATGATTGCAAATCGTCGGTCTATGACAGACTGCAGGATGCCTACAGACCACAAGTGCCTCTTCCTCGGCGCGGGCCCTCGCGAGTGCCTCCTGTTCCTGCAGAAGCTGCAGAAGCCACGAGACATCAGTTCATCATGATGCCGCACACTGCACTCGCGTGCGCCTTTCGCTGCCGCCCTTCCTCTGCAGCCTGCATCCGGTTTAGACAATCATGGCATAGATCAAGGAGCACACGACTCATTGTTGCTGTCACGGCACCCCCTGTCTCTTGCGTGAATGCGGGTGATGAACACCCAGTATGTGCGCCACTGCAAGGCTACCAAGACACCAGCTCGGAAATACTGCTTTTCACTGCCACTTTGGAGTACAAATGGTAGTATGTCTGGTCCATGCATGTCAGGCTATACGACGATACGATGGCTAGTGCTTGTTCAAACTAGCCTGCTGCCAATAATATGCAGGTGCCTGTTCCTCTGCCCGAGCCCTTTCGAGCGCTTCCTGCTCCTGCCAAAACGGGCAGCCAAAGATGCTCCATCACGACAGTCCGACAGCCGATCATGTATAGCCAGGTGTCATGAAATGTTGATGCTGCTGCTGCATACGGAGCGCCTTTTGGTGTCGCCTTTCTTCTTCCAATCGGGTCCTCTCCTGTGCACTGATAGAGACACTATGCACACGCTCCGGCCGATGCACAATCCAAAATGCACAACTCGAATCAAGTACGCATGCCGAACCGACCTTGCGGCCGTTGCTACGCACGCCTCGATACTATACACATACTGCCCGCCTCTTGTCTGCGCACCTCTGCTGCCTGCAGCATGATTATCGTCACGCACGGCTCTGCTGTTCAGGGAGCATGCGGCTAGCGAACTTGAACTGAAGACTGCACCGTTGCTGTTATGGCGCCTCCTGTCTCTGCCTCTCCTCCTCCAGGCGCGCGCTCTCCTGCGTTGGCTCTCGGTGTCTCCAACTGCGTAGACCAGACGTGTGATCTCAACTGTACGAATTAACTTTGCTACTGCCACTACGAGGCTACCAGACACCAGAATCCACCATTCATTGCTTGTCGGAGAGTATGTCGGGGGTGCATGACAGGTAACAGCAGACCTATCCTGCCGGGACCCCCACGGAGGCCATTGGGGCCGCCCGTCTTCCCCACCGTGTTAATAAGTGGACGGAATTAGGGGCCCTTGCGGAGTTTGCATAGTGGGCTCTGAGTTTCTGTGTTGCAATCCCCAGCCCCGTATGCTAAACAACACACATATACCCGGCCTCATCTCCGCGCCCCTATGGCAACCCAACATCTCAAGCAAGCGGTTAGAGCCCCCATGCATTTGGTAAAGGAGAGCTTCCGTAGCAGGTTCCACGCAAAACACACGGCGATCCCCTTATGGCACAGGCTAATGTTGCCGCCAGTGGTGCCACTTGGTCCCCCCTTGTTGGTGTGTATTGTTCTGCATGGCTCGGGTCACCTCGGCACCATGGGTCGAGGCCCCATACACAAAAACACAGAGTCCAAAAACGAGTTCATTTTACGTGACCCCAGTGTGCACCAGTTGTTGGACGGTGGTGTGACCTGTTGATTGGACACGAATCACTGCCCTCTCTCCCTTCTTCAGCCCAGGCAAGGAGAAGCTGCGAGGTATTGCGAGGTCAGCCCCTCCTGCGAGTTGCCGTACACTGGAACGGAGAGAAGGGAAGGTCGGAGTGCGAAGAGTGACGACAGAGACTCAATCAGCGGTTCAACCACAGAAACTGACTACCCTAAGACCCCCAACCTCCCTGAAGGCTAAGCTAGGCACGGGATCCTCAAACGGCCGGTGAAAGAGTTCTGTCTCCGAGCCTAAGCCCCCCCTGCCGGGAGAGGGGGGGCAGCTCCGGGACTCTCACTCAACACTTCTTTGTCTCGGTGTGCAAGGCTCACCCCTGTTGTCGGATGTTTGGGGGGGGACAAACAAGTTATAGGAGCGTTACAGTACAGCACACGATAGTACAGGACACGTCCCTCGACATAAACTGTCTCAATAATGATGAGGCGCCGGTCGCGGCGAAGCAATGCCACCAAACATTTGTGACTGGCGACTGCCAGGCAGAATCAACACCAGTTGGGTCTAAAACAAATACCAATAACCATTCTGTGGCCGTGACACCGGCTCGTCCGCGAAACTGCCGACTGAGGGAAGGGAAGCGGCAAGAAGGGAAGCTGGCACCAAGCCTTGAGAAACGCGCCATGCCTCTCCTCTGCCCAGTTGCGTGAAGCGATTCCTGGCCTGCGCAAGACCTTCTTGACTTGGCCAAATACTTATTATCATTATCAAATACTTATTATCATTATTGTTATTACTATATAAAATCACTGCTGTTATTACTATTTTTATAATTAATATTGTTGTGGTTAGTACAATTATTGCTGTTATTATTCGTATTGTCATTACCATCATTAATAGACTTGCTCCCGCCGTGGTGGAGGCCCGCCCTCGTCGGATCTCTCTGTTTCTTTCGTAGTCGCAGGGCCGTGGCGCACAAGAGCGAACTCCTGGGGCCACGCCCCCTCTGTTCCAATCTTTCTTCTCTAGGGCATAGAGTGGGGAGCCAGGTGAGATAAGTTTGAGACTTCCTGAGATACCAGCCTCAACCAGTCTCATCTCTATGCCGTGGCACCTCTTGTCTCTGCCTCTCCTGCTCCATCCTGTGCGCACTTTCCTGCATGTGGCTCTTCGTGTTTCGCCCAGTCCGGGTGCATCCCCAAATCCGTTTTGGCAGTTACGAGCACGCAGCGCCCACTTTCAAGTTTCAAGTTTCGGGTTCAATGGCAAAGGGCAAAGCCAAGGTGCAGAACAGCATCACTGCAGATAGGCTGCCAGCCTCTTGTTCTGCAATGGCAGTCGCAAGAGCCTCCTGTTCCTGCGGCGATAATCTGGAGACAGAATTAACGGACTCGTGCTGAGCGATGTCCGCTGCGCACCTCTCGGCGTGACTTTTCTTCCTGCAATCGCGCCAGCTCCTGCATGTTTGTGCTGGTACCATCTGAAGCATACCTTGCTACATCCGACTAGTGTGGACTCCAAATTGCGGCCCGCAATGCCCACCTCTTGTCTGCACATCTCCTCTGCGGCCTGCATCTCTGCACCATCCAGCACCCACAGCTGAAGATATTGTGCGCCGACATCGAGCAAGCAGTCACCAGCAAAAAAAAGCGCCTCCTCTGCGCGGGCCTTCCTCCAAGCTTCCTCCTCCTCCAGGCGACGCAAATTTAGAAACCACGCTTGCGCTGCAACACAAAGATCTTGCAGATGCACCTCTTGTCGTTTCATTTCTTCCTGCATGCGTGCACTCACAAAGCGGAGAATCAATATCTGCACACATCTACCTCTTTCTCCGCACGTGCTCTCTCGAGCGCCTCCTCTTCCTGCTCAATCAAGGAAGGACAACTTCGGCAGCCACAAATCGTTCGCAGTGACCAGTTGCCCTGGCTCTAGACTGAAAACAGCCGCATGCTACGTGCCTCGCGTCGCTGCCTCTCTTCCTCTAGTCGCGCCCGCTCCTACGCACGGATATCAAGCCCGACCCGCTCAAGTAATCACTTTGCTTGCAAAAGCACGCCTCCTCCTCTGCCTTGGCTAGGCGCGCCTCCTCTTCTGCCTTGGCTTGCTCCTGCCACAGACTGTAAGCACTGCAAGCACTAACACTGAACCTAGCACTTGTCGCACATGCCGAACTGACAAAGAACGAGTGGATTGCAGCATGCTGTTGCTTTTCCTACCTTTGCGGTGCTCAGTGACATAGATTATTGTGGCTGGGCAGATGCGTGCCAACACGTGAGGCCACCGAAGTCGAGACTGCAGTCTTGCATGGA